CGTTAGAATAACAACAAGTTAAATTCAACTAGTGGCTTATTGATAATCAAAGTATTACAAACATACAAGATTAAAAATTATAATATAAAGTAAAGTATATTCAAGTAAAGTACTTTATAAAGTATATTATTATAATAATACTGTATATAATTTACATTATAAGAATAAAGGTAAATACAGTTTGTTTTCATAAAACTCAATTTACATTAAATATTACATGAATTTTGTTATGTTAACTATAATGTCATTTATAAACTGAAAATCAATACTCGAATAAATTATGTATAAAATTAAAATAAGATTACTTACAAATCAATATAATAATGCAATTTAACATAAAATACACTGTATGAGTGATAGACGTAACAGTAACTTATTTTACATTTGGTGTAATAAACTTTAAATTTCGTATTACTGCAAACAAAACTAAATTTATGATAAAACAGTAAATATAAACTTACCAACATTGAAATAATTTCATCAGGATCTTTTTAAAAACAACGTAGCGATGATAAGTTCTTATATAAACACCAAATTTATAACTACAAAATTAAAACAACAATTATTTAACTATCAAAACATATCAATAATCATATGTATAACGGGATGTTTGTTACAAATATCAAACATTTGCCACAATTATCTCTTATACGAAACCGTAACCGATGTTAAGTACATAAATCCGGTTGAGGTGTCGCTGCCGGCCATCACTATATGCGCCCATAAGGACAAGTACCTCAAGCCAGACATTATGGACAGACTATTGTTGAATACAAACAGTACACGGAATGGCATTTTAATTGACAACTATCTCAAAAATATGTCAATTAGCGAACAATTTAATGCATTACAAACGGCCGACGAAATCTTTGATGGGGACAGTTGTCTAGTGCGCCGACCCGTTGGTCCACTCGCAACCAATAACGCATACACACATCAGAAGTACGTGAACTGCTCGGACATTGCGCCCATACGGCTGGCCATTAGTAGTGGCAGTTTATGTATGACATTATTCTCGCAATGGGACGACCGGACGGACGACGACAGCGACGATAGGTATCGGGTGCTCAACAATCAAAGCAAAATCTATGAATACGAGTACATGGTATATATGATTGAGATGGACTTTGGCCCAGACGTCACCATGCATATACACCCTAGGGATCAGGTGATTACACAACCGGAGCAATGGATGGGCCGACACCTGGACACCAAATACGAGGCCATTTACCTCGAGTATCGAGAGGTGATAGTCAAGGAGTTGGCCGCGCCCTACGAATCCCAGTGTCTGCACTGGAATGCACTACATACTGATGGTCACCGATACCGGTCCCGACACGACTGCCTGTCCCGGTGCAAAATTGACCGCTTTATCGGCGAACACCATACGTTTCCCGAGGGTTACGTGTCGTACGACACAAAGTCTGAGCTAACATTTAATGAAAACACTACGGAAAGTATGTTTGACACGTGTGGGGACGTGTGTCCGGCCAATAGAGAGTGCAGTCAACACTATTATATGATTAGCTGGAAGGAGAACGACAAGCCGTGGCCGGTGAACGTGACTGAGGGTCAGCGGCAACACTTGCACGTAGATTTTCCATCTATACCCAAACGTGTGTTTGTGTATAGTCCAAAATTGTATCTGGGTGAATTTTGGTGTCTAATTAGTAGCGTGATTAGTCTCTGGTTTGGTTTTACCATAATGTTTGCCGCAAATGGTTGCGTTCAGTTCGTGCGCCGACTTTACACTCGATATTATAATATAAATAATTTGTTTATTTTGAGTCAAAGTAATACATTTGTGACAAATACTACTGCAATTAATAGGCGTGATATACGTACGAGTTAATTATGGTATGGATTAACTGATATAATAAATGTTATAATTTATTATTTCATATATTTTAAAATAAAAATTAATCTTATGGGTTTCTGATTAAATTTCTACTTATAAATTATAAGTTATAATGTATTATCATGTTAATTAAAAGTTTCATATTAAATCCGTTCTGTCAGATTATAATAACACTTACTCGTTAGAATAACAACAAGTTAAATTCAACTAGTAGCTTATTGACAATCAAAGTATTACAAACATACAAGATTAAAATTATACATAATGTATAAAGTATAATATAGTATAATATATAATTTACATTATAAGAATAAAGGTAAATACAGTTTGTTTTTATAAAACTGAATTTACATTAAATATTGCATGAATATTGTTATATTAACTATAAAATTATTTATAAAATAAAAATCAATACTCTAATAAATTATGTATAAAATTAAAATAAGATTACTTACAAATCAATATTATAATGCAATTTATATTTAACATAAAATACAGTGTATGAGTTATAGCCGTAACAGAAACAATAACTTATTTACATGTTATAAACTGTTAATTTCATATTACTGCAAACAAAACTCACTTTATTATAAAACAGTAAATAAAAACTGATCAACATTGTAATTATTTTATCAGGATCTTTTAAAAACAACGTAGCAATGATAAGTTCTTATATAAACACTAAATTTATTATTATAAAATTAAAACAACAATTATTTAATTATCAAAACATATCAATAATCATATGTATAACGGGATGTTTTCTACAAATATCAAACATTTGCTACAATTATCTCTTATACGAAACCGTAACCGATGTTAAGTACATAAATCCAGTGGTAGTGTCACTGCCGGCCATCACTATATGCGCCGATAAGGACAGGTACCTCAAGCCAGACATTATGGACAAAATATTGCTAAACACAAACAACACACCAAATGAAATCTCAATTTACATCTATCTCAATAATATGTCAATTAGCGAACAATTTAATGCATTACAAACTGCGACCGAAATCTTCGGTGGGGACTATTGTCTAGTGCGCCGACCCGTCGGTCCACTCGCAGCCAACAACACATACACACATCAGGAGTACGTGAACTGCTCGGACATCGCTCCCATACGGCTGGCCATTAGTAGTGGCAGTTTATGTATGACATTATTTTCGCAATGGGACGACCGGACGGACGACAATAAGTATCGGGTGCTCAACAGTGTAAGCAAAATCAAGGAATACGAGTACATGGTATACATGGTTGAGATGAACCTTGGCCCGGACATCACCATGCACATACATCCTAGGGATCACGTAATTACACAACCGGAGCAATGGATGGGTAAACATTTGGACACCAAATACGAGGACACTTATCTGGAGTATCGCGAAGTAGCGGTCCGGCTGTTGCCCGCGCCCTACGAGTCCCAATGTTTACACTGGACTGCACTGCCAATCCCGTACCGATCCCGACACGATTGTCTATCCCGATGCAAAATTGACCGCTTTATCGGCGCACACCATACGTTTCCCGAGGGTTTCGTGTCGTACGACACAAAGTCTGAGCTAAAATACAATGAAAACACTACGGAAAGCATGTTTAACACGTGTGGGGACAGGTGTCCGGCCAATAGAGAGTGCAGTCAACACTACTACATGATTACCTGGAAGGAGACCGACAAGCCGTGGCCGGTCAGCGTGACAGAGGGTCGGAAGCAGAACTTGTACGTAGATTTTCCATCTATACCCAAACTTGTGTTTGTGTATAAGCCAAAATTGTATCTGGGTGAATTCTTGTGTTTAATTAGTAGCGTGATTAGTCTCTGGTTTGGTTTTACCATAATATTTGCTGCAAACGGTTGCGTTCAGTTCGTGCGCCGGCTTTACACTCGTTATTATAATACTAATAATTTGTTTATTTTGAAGCAAAGTAATAAAGCCTTTACATTTGTGACAAATAATACTGCAATTAATAGGCATGATATACGTACGAGTTAATTATGGCATGGATTAACTGATTTAATACTGGTTTACAATATGGATTAAATTATCTGTGATAATAATTAATATTAGTATACAGTATCATGTTTTAACAAATATTTTTCATGTATTTTGTAATTTCATTATAAATAATAATTTTAAATTGATTATGTTGTCATAAATGTATAAATGCATTATGTAAAGTTTTTTGAACTGGTCATTTAACTTTAACTTCAGAACTACAAAACTTTAGAAAACCTTGACTATTACTCAAGTAACCCTAATGTTTAAATGTAAATTTATATTTAATATATTTATTATTGATGTTATTTTTAAATAAATATTTTAAACTTATAAACAGTAGAAAATAAAATTAAAAATATTCATATTTTTGTTATTTATTATTAATATAATGTTTATACATTTTACAACCACAATTAATTTTTATTACATTTTAAATTTAGATATAAGCATTTAGTTAATAAATATTTACGTTAGTAACAAAACATGTGAATATTAGCATTTAAATAGCCATAGATTATGTTCCATAGTATAATGTTTTACAATGTTTATCAAATTATTGATCAGATAAGATCTATTTATCAATGAATATAATACCCTTTCATTACATTTATTGATTAATGATGAATTACAATTCATTAATAATATTAAATTACTATTATTTCGTATCAAACGCTATATTAATGTGACTTTCATTTAATAATTTTAATAAATTGTTAAAAGATATTTCACTACAAATCAGTTGTAACAATAGATATTACAATATTTCAAACACATATTGTATTATATGATAGATTTAATTATATATTTTGTCACTGAATTAAATCCATTGATAATAAAAGATTATATAAAGGGATATAAATAAAAAATTATACAATATTTGACGTATAGTAAGAAGTTTTTCATATAAAAAATCACTTAAGAATATTCTTTACACTTTTTATTATATGTAAAGTAAAATTTACTGCAATTTATATGCTTTTAAAACTTTATATAAAAAAATATTTAAATTACATTAAATCTAAATTTCAAATATACATCAAATGGAAAATATAAAATTGATTCTCAGACTTTTTTAAATACACTTTCGTATAACTAATGAAATACATACTGATATAACCACTTGATGTGCATGTATTTAAATAATGTTGGTAATTTAATCAATTTTTCTAAGCGATAGTTATTTTAAGCTATTTTTGACATTTCAATTCACTTGACAGACTCCGAGATAATATTGAAATTAAATTACATGTTGATAAAATTAATGTGAAATAGTGTATAGAAATGTTAAATGTAATTTACAAAATCAGCCTTAATTATTTATTCAATGCTTAACTATATAATGAATACATAGAAAATTGCAAGATATGTAATCAATTTGTTGAAAAATAAAATTTTAAATATATTTTCTATTTAACGATTACTGGATTTTAAATAAAATTAATGAACTAAAACGTCTCATAATATAAAGAAATGTCAATAAAGTATATAAACTATAACTTATAGTCGAGAGAGAGAGAGAGAGAGAGAGAGAGAGGACTTAACAAATTACATCATTTTGATGTATCAAATTGTTAAGTATTTAATCCTTTATCACAGCATTTGTTTACATACAAAAAACAAATACAATTGAAATAAAGTAACAGATTTTAGTAATCCATGGGATTATGTCGTATAGGACAGTGGAAAGAAGGATTGGCTTAATACACAATTTTTTTAAGCTTCCTATTATATAATGTACAATACAAAAATCCTTTTACTTAATAAGTATTTTTACTTATTAACATGTTTTAAAAACAAAGAGTAATCAATGTTAATGTATTTATATTATTAATTATACATGTTATTCCATTCCCCAGTTGTTTTATTTAAGGAATAATACAAAAAATAATGCAAGCTTTGTATATTTCCAACCCTAGGGCCGAGTAAGATAGATCACGAGCTATCTACTTTTAGTGTAAATAATTAATCAACACTAAATCAATATTTAGTAATTTATACAGGTTATATAATGTTTAAAAGTAAATATTTTAAAGTTATAATTATGCTTTAAAAATATAATAATAATATTAAATAGGAAATTCCTATTAAGTATTATTATTATGTTTTTATATAAAACTATTAATGAACACATTAATCATTAAAACTTGCAATAAATTTAAAATTACTCGCATGGCTTGTATAATAAATTCAGCAATAACCTGGTAATATTACATACAATTTGCATACAATTTTAAAAGGCATTATGCAAATATTAATACGCTTGAACTAACATTCTTAAAAATGATTGCTATACAATTGAATACTTCACCCAAAAAAATCAGATTACGTTTAATGACAATACTTTTGATATACACTTATAGTATTAATTTTAATAATCGCATTTCGGAAATAATAAGACATAATTTTTTATGAAATAATTAATCTTTTAACAATCTCTCTCTCTCTCTCTCTCTCTCTCTCTCGTTTATAAAATGCATTTATTGAAGAGATTGCTCATGGTAAACGTACGAAACCTGACCGCGTATACAACGCTGGTCTACATAACGGCCGTTGCGTTCACCGTAATAATCATGTCCGTACTGGTGATCAACAATCTAGATATTAATTTCATACACAGATACTATTCACAGGCCGTATTGAACTTCCAGTTGGCCGTCGATAACAGGCCAGAGTCGACAACAGTGACCATCGACTACCAGTTCATTGTCGACCACAACTCCGAGACCAGTAAAGCCAAACACATTGGCAGCCAATGGCCGCCAGACCTTAAGGCCAAAGTGGCCGCTAAAGTGCCAGAAAGGCTATGGTTTCTGCCGAACGGCACGGGGAGGTTGACGGCTCCCGAGGCCGCCCGACTGGCCCTCTGGCCCGAAGAAAGTCCGACCCCCGGCTACGATCGCATTGTCAATCAGTTACTATACGTGCCGTTGACTTATAACCGGAGTCAGTCCAACGATCGCCATAAGACCATATACTTGCACATTATGGACAACGAGTGGCCCCTGGCGTTGGGTCGCAAGGAGTTTCTCCGCTGTCCGGTCAGCACATGTCAATTGGTGCCCAGAAGTCACGCCCCGAAAGCCGATATGATTTTCTTTAAGGTAATTTTTTAAAATGTTTTTTTTATTACATTAATGGGGTTTAATTTCTGTGTTTAGTTTTAGTGTTTTTAATGATTATTATTTGCGTTTTTATGTAATTTGATTAATGAGTGTCTCGTCTATTGAGAGTTATATGAAGAATGAGTTATAATTATAAATTGTTTTATTTAGTGGTGTTTTATTTTTTTTGTAATTTATTACAACAAAACAGTATAATAGTTAGTATTATATGTTTTTATAAAAAATGACTTTTTGTTAATTAATAATGAATTAGATATAAAAGTGTTTTTATTGAATGACAACCACAACAACATCACATATCGTGACATTTATTTATAATTGTATATTATTTTTAATAGTGAAAACTCATCATGTATTTTGTTGCCAATAATACTAGGAATTAAAAAGTAACCTAAATATGGTTTTAAAAAAATGTTTTTAAAATTATTGATCTTTTATTTGGCATTACTTTAACTGATAATTCATTGTTTATTAATGTTGACAATAATACAAGTAGATAGCATTTTGTTAAAAATAACAATACATGTCATTTAATATAGCTCATACACATGAATAAATAATTCATTTTTGACATAGTGTATTAATTATTATATAAAATGCAAAATAATAGGCAACAGAATATTTTGTTTAAATAATTTTATACAATTTTATCAATAATTGTATAGATAAAACAACCGGGTCATAACAAACATTTAATATCGATACTAAATAATATACAGTATGTCACTACCTCCAAACTTACACTTGCTGAAAATTTAAGCTAAACTAACCTGTACATAAACTATAATTGGGTACACAATAGGACACGTGTAGATACGTTTGCGGGACATAAATAGAGTAATTCATGTGAATAAAACATTTTTTCTCTACACCAGAGTCGGTACGGGTTTGCGGACTTCGCTGAGAATCGTAAGCCCAGCCAAATATGGGCCAAATTTGAGTTGGAAAGTCCCGGCAATATACAACTTCTGGGGCCCGACAATCAGATCAATTGGACGGTAACCTACCGGCACGACTCGGAAGTGGCCACACCTTATTACAAGTACTTTGAGTACCCGCCTCACGAGCGATCGGCAACTAATACGGCCATGGTCAATTACGCGCTCAACAAAACCAAAAAGGTGATCTGGTTTGTGTCCAACTGTTACGCCAATAACAAGCGACTCGAATACGCCAAAGAGTTGGCCAAACATATCCAGGTAGACATCTATGGTCGGTAAGGCTTCTCTCTCTCTCTCTCTCTCTCTCTCTCTCTCTCTCTCGATATTTTACTATTAAATGATGAATTATTTAAATAAAATTAATTAACATTCAATTTAATTAATTTTTTTATTTATATAATACGTGAACACATGCGGGCGTAAAGTTGCGGATCACTTGAATGCAAAAAATCAGACAACGATTTGTGTCAACAAATGCTGGACAAAGACTATAAGTTTTATCTATCGTTTGAAAACTCCAATTGCATCGACTATATCACTGAGAAGTTCTGGGCCAATGGATTAATGTAAATATGCCCTGGCTACATTTCAACAATAATTAGTTATCTAGAAACATACTGTATGGCAGAGATACACGTACATCAGTATATTTACAGTATATCAAACCCCCATTCACAACACTAATACACTCATACCCTTGTTATCAATTGTTAGCAAGTGTTTTATTATTTAAAGTATAGTTTAATTAATATTAATAATTATAAATACTTAACCCAACAATTTATAAACACATGATATAATAAACTAACTAATTTCACTCTTAATAGGCACAATATAGTGCCGATAGCGATGGGCGCCCACCCGTCCACCTATAAACTGTTGGCACCGCCGCACTCATACATACACGTCGACGACTATGACTCGCCGGCAGAGTTGGCCCGATATCTGCACCGACTCGACGCCGACGACCGGCTTTACAACCAGTACTTCGCGTGGAAAGGGAGGGGAGAAATACGCGGTATACACATGTGGTGCCGCCTCTGCGCCCTATTACACGCCCCCCGTAGCGAACGCTACTATACAAGTCTCCAGAGGTGGTGGTCCACCAAGGACACTTGCGTCCCAATCACCTGGACCAATATGTCCATAGGATAATTTGTTTGTTAGCTTGTTAATTAAAATAATCTCATTGTTATATATTTTTTAGGTAAAATCATTGTTTTTTAATTTATTGTGTTTTTTACATTAATGAAATAAAATGTCTAATAGATTGCTAAAATTACATTAAGTGTTTTGGGAGTTTTGTTTGGCTATGATTTTAATATAAATTAAATTACTATTGTTTCTCATTCTTCTGGTCCTTTTGGCTCTTGTTTTTCTGGCTCTTCTCGTTCTTACCATTCTTCTGGTTCTTTTGGTTTTTGCCATTTTTCTGGTTTTTCTCATTTTGTTTTCCCTTTTGGTTTTTCTGGTTCTTCTGGTTTTTCTGGTCTTTTTGTTGACTCTTCTGGACCTTCTGTTCTTTGGGTGCCTTTTGGCCCTTTTGTGGCGCCTTCTGGTCCTTCTTCACCACCTTTTGGTCCTTCTGTTGGCTTTTCTCTGCCTTTTGACACGACTGCTCGTCGACCGCCCCCTCGGCCGCCACCACTTCAGACTCGGCCTCTGCAGTGCCGCCGCAGCTTTTCTTACTTTTCGGCGAAGACTTCTTCTTCTTGGGCTCAGACACCACATCCACCACCTCTTCGTCGGCCACCACTTCGACCGCTTCCTGAGCCACAGCCTCTTCAGCCACAGCGGGCGCCGACTTCTTCACACGTTTCTCCGTTTCCTTTACTTTCGGCGCCTTTTTGTTGTCCTTTTTGGCGGTCTTTGGCGCCGCTTTGGCCGCGGGTTTGGGCTTAGACTCGACCACTGGCTCGGGCTCTGCCTCCTCGACGGCTACCTCGGGTTCCTCCTCGACGACCACCTCTTCCTCCTCGGGCTCTACGATCTCGACATTGCGCTCAACCCTAACCTTCTCCTCGACCACCGCCTCCACCGACTGTTCCTCTACTACCGACGCCTCCTCGGCCTGTCGTCGGCCCCTCTTTCTGGTCTCCTGTTGTGTAATGAAATATTATTTGTATAATTATATTATACATGTTTGTGGCCATCAATTCAAACTTACCGCAGACTTAGCCCCGTACGCGTCGGCCACCAAAAGAGCCACAATTAGCGAAAGTATCAAAAACTTCATTATTTATCACTTGTTTTTCCCAACGAAAGGCACGTTTTGACCAAAAGAAGTATTAATGTAAAAATACGTTTAATTAATGTTGATTACAACACGCAAATAAAACAATCTAGATATATGTTTAATTAATGTAATATAAATGGCAAATGGAGTCAAACAATAAGACACAATTGGTTAGACTTAACAGACTTAACTTAAAGTGAAATGTTTAAAATCAATGTATAAAATGATGATATACTGGTCGAATGCCTGCACCTTATATACAGTGTACGGGACTATTGAAACCAGTGATTAATAGTGTCTAAAAATGTATATTTTTCTCAACCAAACAATCACTATAATTATATTATTGTATATTTCATACACTAATCGACGTGTCATTTCTCCCTGTGTTTAGAGAGAGGGAGCAATAGTAGCGGTCTCTATTACTGTTTATTATGTGATAATTATTATGAATATTGCACAAACTTATGTTTATTATTTTATATTTAATAGATCTAATGATAACTGCGATTAATACCAAAATAAAACGTACATAGAGTCAAGTGCTCATTATATACAGTATTGTGCGGTATATGTCATGATTTGGCTATTAATGGGTGTATTTGTAAGTAAGAGGGGTTATAATTTTCCAAAGATAACAGCTAGGTTGTTTTCTAGTAATTATGACCATGGCGGTTTAGCACAAGTCATTTAACGTACGCTTGAATAGTGAACTAAAATATGTAATTTACGTATTTTTGGGATTTATTTCCGACTCATTTGTGTTATTATTTCATATATTTTTACTGATATTAAGTGTTTGTTTTGCTCTTATCTGTAAACTTATTATTAGTATTAATAGTCATTACGTTTAGTATTAAATATTTAATTTAAGTGTCGATCAAAACATTTCCATTGAATTTATTTCATAAATGTAAAATTAATTTTACGATTAACATGTTGGTTAACTACCGTTTAATTGACTGTAATAACACATTTATTATTACTATCTACCTAGAGTTTTATACTACACTATTACCCTAATATCCCATAGACAACGCGCACCCCGTGTATAACGCGCAGTAAGAAATTTGACAGTATTTTTGAATAAAAAATAATTTATAGATAACGCGCACCCCGTGTATAACGCGCACCCCTTGAATAACGCCTATGTCCTCTACTGTATATTTAAAACTTATTATTGTTAGAACAACACATGTTCTTAAAATACAATTCAAAACAAAATATTGTAATTAATTATTGTGATTGTGAAATCCTATAATTATGCCTAAACAAAGGAAATCTGGATGCAGACATTTGTTCGAAAAAATTAATACTAATTTGATTTAAACACATAAATTTGGTAAAAATTAATATTAATATTATTAATTATGTTAATATATGTTAGTTTAGATAAGTTTGGGTTAGGTTAGGTTAGGTTAGGTTTAATTAGTAATGATTTAATATAATTTTATTTTTTCGAACAAGTGTATTTTGAACAAATGTCATAGGACAAGAAAGGGAAGAAAAGGTCATCAGATTTAAAACATATGTTGATAACAATAAAGTTGGGGTCAAACCAGAGGACATTGGCAAAGGGATGGGTAAATGAAGAAATAATTAAGGATTGGCTAAAGTTTGTCTTGAAACGTCGAAATATTTGAACAATATTTTTTTATGTTATTTATTTTTAAATCATGTATACCGCGCACCCCGTAGATAACGCGCACCACTAATTTTGGCAAGAATGTCACTTTTTTCTATAGATAACGCGCGCGTTGTCTATGGGATATTAGGGTAATAGTTTTATTAACTTAACATTACTTTAACTCATTGAATAAAAGTGTTATGTAATGGAAATAAAATGAACATTAAATTACAATTAAAAACAAAACTTTTAAGCAGTTTTAATCATAGGATTATCTCTATAGAGATATGCCATAGAAAGATGAATACTTACGGTTTAATACAAACTATATTATAATATTAATCTGGGAAGTAGATTAACAAATAAATATTATAATCTATGGAAATTCAATGTGTGTTTTAGACTATGAAATAATTTAATTAAATACGAATACAATAGGGTGAAATTGCATGAAAAAACAGACACAATCACTATTTAAGAAATAATAGGGTAAAAAATGTTATCAAACTTTTGTTCAGCCTTTATAATTATTAATTACCACTAATTACTTTCAAAATATTCACTATAAACTTAATTTCCATACACATTATCATCACAATCAGTCTCACCATAACTGTGTATATATTGTATATATCTATGCAAAAAATCATTTACCCTTTTGTATGAAAACGGCACTCATTTTATAACTCATTTTATTAAACAATAAAAAATTGCTTTTCATTTTTACTTTGCATAATAACGGGAACCGACACATCCTTCCCTTCCCAACCCTTTTCACTATAAACAGCGTTATATACCATATATTGTCTGTGAATAGCCGTAACTAGTGATGCGACCAGCGCTGGGACCCACACATCAGCCGCAGATAGCGGTCGGCGTATCGCCAAAACTGTCGGCCAAGAAGTCGGTGAAAAAATCGGTGCATTTCGCCCGACAGACACAATGGATGCGTGACATCAAGCGATACCAGATGTCCGTCGACTGTCTGATACCGCGCCTACCGTTTCAACGCCTGGTGCGTGAGGTGTGTCTCGAGCTCTGGCCTATGGCTGACCTCCGGTGGCAGGGGTTGGCCATCAGTGCCCTCCAGGAGGCGGCCGAGAATTGTTTGGTTACCCTCTTTGAAGACTCAAACCTGTGCGCCATTCACAGCCATCGGGTGACGATTATGCCCCGCGATATGCAACTCGCCCGTAGAGTGTCCCGTGCCGTGTGATTGATCATGTGTCTTATTTTTGTAAATTTTATTTTGTTTAATATTGTAATTGTTTTTTATGTTTTAATTTTTTAATAGTTTGTTTAAATTCTTAATTAGTTTGCTTTTTGTGAAGTTTTTTATTTGTTTAGAAATTTAATGATTATTTTATGGATGTCTATAACATTATCTGTTTAAATACTGTTTAAATATCGATTAGCATTTACATTAAGCCTATTTATGTTAAGTATTGTAGTGATAATATGTGGTAATAAATCTGGAAATTTGCAATTTATTGCCAGAATATTGCAGGCAATAAATCAAAATATTTGTTCAGTTAAACCATTTAAATACTAGTTAGAAAATAAAATTTAATTGTTATAAATGGGAAACAAAAAAATATAATACATATAAAATGCCATAAAAAAGATTTAATATTCAAATAAACGGTGAAATATTTCTAAAATAATTTTAGTCTAGTTTTATAATAAAATTTTTATTAATACAAACATAAAAATGTTTTATTTCATTAAATAATAGATAATAAAATCTGTATATTTACTACTGTATATTTACTACGTCAATAGTGTACTTTATATTATTGTATGTATTATGTAATTGTGTGCTAAACAGAAGAGGTTTACATATGGATATAAAAATTCAGTTAAATATTTTTATTTCATTATAAATAATAAATACAATAATGCCGTACACTATAAAAGTGATGTGTTTTGGGCTCTCTATTGAGTACAGTATCCGGTCGTCGGTATACATGAGTTGTTGGCATTTTATTATAGCTTTTCTTCATTCAAACCTATTGTGTGGGAAAGAGACCGGGATTTAAATGATGGTGATTTACCCTATGTATATGAAAATATGAAATTATTATTTAGAGAGAGAGAGAGAGAGAGAGAGAGAGAGAGAGATTTAATAAACTATATTAAATCAATGTGAGTTTCTTTTAAAAAATTAATTAAAGTTTTAATTAAATATTTTAATGTAATTAAAAACATTAATGTATAGCATTTTCATAAAGTTAATAAGTTTAATTTACTACAGCATAATATACTTTCATTTTGTTTATTATTTATGAATTATGAAATATCATTAGAGAGAGAGAGAGAGAGAGAGAGAGAGAGAGGATGAGAGGCAGTGAATCGAAATCCTATCGGAAATGATTGAGCGAAAAACATATTATTTTATGTCGATTAGTGAACATTTGTTTCAATTTAGTGTACTTTACATACAGTGAGTATTCGGTTAACATGTCTATTAGGATTAAATATAATACATAATTAAATTTTGTTGGTAAATATAATTTTCTTTATATATAATCTGCGACACCTACGCGCGTCTCTCTCTCTCTCTCTCTCTCTCTCTCTCTCTAATGATATTTCATAATTCATAAATAATAAACAAAATGAAAGTATATTATGCTGTAGTAAATTAAACTTATTAACTTTATGAAAATGCTATATTAATAATAATGATTACTGCAATTCTGTATACATTTATATGTTGGTTGTGTGGATACACACAATACCAGTGCATGTAATGTAATATCTCTGTCAGAATAAATGCCAGAATATATAACAAACAGTAATTTTTGTTTTTTATTAAATGCCACAACAGTCAGTCGTATATATTAATAGTGCCAGTGATTTAATGATGGTAAACCAACACAGACTTTACAATACGGTATATAAACATTATTCTGGTATTTATATCAGTGTATTGTTGTTTGTGTTGTGAAAGTTACTGATGATTAGCTTTTTTCATACATTTCCTTTACGCCTATCTTACTCTCGGCCCTCATTATTAAATATCAAACGTATTGTATATATAAATATCATGTTCTGTATATTATAGTATACATTATATAAATATATATTTAAAAGTATATTTAGTTTATAGACGAGTAGCTTTTGTGAGGGTGAAAAATATAAATAATAGTGTTAATTATAAACGTGTTTACGATTACCATCACTCATTACTAAACTAAATATAAACTAAAAAGTTACATTTACAAGAATTTATGTTATCAATTTAACATGCACTTTAATTATAAATCCCATTCTCTGGTTATTGTTATAATAATTGCAAGTTTTATTCTTGAAAGTAGAAATTTATTTTAAAAAGTTTTTAAACAACTTATGATATATTTTGTACAGAATTTTTAACGGAAAGTCTGGACTGAAAAATGAATTATCGCTATAATTAGTGTTACAAATGGTTTTACACATAGTATGAAATGTAAGTATTTTTTAGTTGTAATTTATTATTTTTGACATTAATGTTTTTAATTACATTAAAATATTTAATTAAAACTTTAATTAATTTTTTAAAAGAAACTCACATTGATTTAATATAGTTTATTAAATCTCTCTCTCTCTCTCTCTCTCTCTCTCTCTCTCTTGTGTTACAAATGGTTTTACACATAGTATGAAATGTAAGTATTTTTTAGTTGTAATTTATTATTTTTGACATTAATGTTTTTAATTACATTAAAATATTTAATTAAAACTTTAATTAATTTTTTAAAAAGAAACAAACTCACATTGATTTAATATAGTTTATTTAATCTCTTTCTCTTTCTCTCTCTCCTGTGTATTGAAAATGTATTGCATTTTGTGTTTCATTAAAAAATACTTAATTGCTTGGAGGATGGGAAATACTTTAAGGATGGGAAAAATAAACGATATGTATATTACATGTGTATTATTCGTGTATCATTCACGATAAGATTTGCCATACATACAACATAGCGTGAACTATTGACAATATTTGCTAAAAATGGACAATAGTGACATTATTTATACTATTTTATCCATTTATTAAAAAATTTGTTAAAAATAAATTATTATTTTAAGAAATAATACCGTAAAAGTAGTTATATTAAAAAAAATAACCACTATTTTAGTTTATAAATAAATTCACAGATTAGCATTGCTCATTGGTTTGCATTAATTTCTAGTTCTCAAGCATTGTATGTAATAATTAAAGCTGTTCAGAATATATTTACCGAACATTTCTAGCATAATATTTCGTTATTTTGTCCATAGAATACATTAATTCAAATTTATATAAAATATTGAGATTTATAAATAAATATTTATGTAAATATTTGACCTTTATAGTAAATATATAAGCAAATATTTGACCCTTTTTAATAAATATTATATAATATATTTGACAATGAATACATATTCTGAACAGCTTTAGTAATAATACATGAATAATACATGATATACATGTAATAATATATGGCAACTTTTTTCCTTGTATTATCCCATCCTTACTGTCATTTGACATTCAAATAGTTTTCCATTTTATTTATATCAATACAAATACATTAATGCATTTAAAATAGTTTTCATTTGCATTTTAATTGTTGTAGTGATTAGTAATTCATTTCATGAATGGCCAGTAATTCAAATGATTTGATGCAATCAAAGAGTCCACTAAACTATATAATTGAATGCATTATAAAAAAGTGTTGAATAAATAATCAGTCATTTGAGGGGTTATATACACAACCAAATACACGACAGACACTACGGCTGGCCATCAGTGGCCAGTCGTGTCCCGCACTCACACAGACATCACATGCAATACAAAGTGTAAGGCATTCACTGCCGACAATCAATGGTTGGCCTTTAAGTCCATTCGCGTCATATCGTGTCCACACAGCAGGCCTTCACTCCCTTCACATCCATTCACTCGCATCTCAAGCGAAGGCCAATCCAGTGGTCACTCATTGCGGGCATCGAGTGGTCACACATGACATACACATCTCACTCGAGTCCACTCACAATACCTATGGTATAGACAACACTCACACCATTCATACCATACAACCGGCACTCCATTCACACCACAAACACAAACACGCGTTGATATAATACACACTATAACTGTATTACATATACATTATTGCATAGTGTGTTTATTATATCGTGTGTAGTGTTTCACACAAAACAATACACCGGATGCAAACTTTTAATCCCTTTATATCTATGTCTATGAGTTATGTGTGTATATGTATATGTTTTCTCTACAACTTTTGTGTGAAAAACTGTACACAACAACTGTTACCACATTATCTGTGGTTTTCTATCCCCTCTATAGTTGTCACTCATCTCCTCCTCTATAGTATACCCTCCCACCCCCTATTGTATGGTATAATACTGTTATACTGTTGTAGATGAATAGTTCATTTAGTTGGAATAGTATACTTGATTTGCTTATAAGACTCATTATGACCAAATTTGTTTATAGAGTGTGGGGTGGGTGAGGGGGTGGAATATTAAAATTAGTCAAAACAACAATTAAATGTTAATACAATCTAGTTTCAAATATAATGATGGTTATCTGATCGACGTAATAATGGATAAAATTGTTGTTAACATACAGATCACCAAAACCTAAAAATAACATCAAATTTATATTATTAATAATAATAGTAATATAATTAACAATTCCTATTAAACGCTTGTTTGGCGCAAATAATTGTTACGCTCGTCGGCGCAGTCGGTGTTTGAACAGAGCTGATATTAAACACATGCGATCGGCCCCGTGTTTGAGCACCGGCGAATTAAATATTATCACATTTAACCGATCTACATTACAATTGATATAATGGCCAAAATGATTAATATTATAACTGCCAAAATTTTCGGTACAATAGATAAAGCACTGCCATTGTGTACCCGGATATTCGGTGGCCATTTGAGCATTTATATGGGTTGGTGTGTCAATTAAACCGACCGCCATATTGATGGCCACAAATACAATGTCCGTCACAACCGATACCATCGATGCATTCATTGTTGTCGTTTTAATATCCAATTTGCGGGCAATTTTGTTACGCTTTAATCGCGTTTTAAATACTTCCCATACAAACTGTTAATATAATATAGTTATGAATATTAATAATAAATAAATAATAATTACTAAATAATATATTACTATCAGATTATGAAATACAGTGAATCTCATCGGGATGAATTTTACTTCCATATAGCAACCAGGAGTGTGATTAATGCAATAACTATTATGATTGTCATTGTATGAATTGGCCAAACAAGTCCAAACGGTGCCAAACTCAAGCTCCATGCAATCGACCACATTTTCGCACACATCGTAAACGGTTTTATATTTTATCAACATTTCCCTAATTATAGCCAGTGTTTTGTCGGTCATATCGGCGCTCATTTGGTTGTTGAATAATTCCGGTGCCGACAGCTGTCGCCTACACTCGGCCAGTATCTGCTCTTCGGAGAGATTTATCTGTGGTAGTGATGATGTATTAGCACAACAATCATCATTATTATCGTAATCATTGTTGCACTCGACAGGCATTTGCTTTTTAGGCACTGTTTTACAAGATAATGTATGATCATCGCCATCATTAGTACCATGATCACTTTGGGTGTCATTATCAACCATTATTGGCTCAATCACTTCCCTAAACAATTCTATACAGTCGGCGCCCGGTGTGTGTGTCTCATGACATCGCAAACAATGCGCCACTTTATAGCCATAGTTTACTGCATGTTCATTAAGATATTTGTATTTGACCTCATCAGGCCACTCTTGGATCAAATCATACCATGATGTTTTAATATTATTGTTGACCCATAGACCGGGAACTCGATGCATAATATATTTCCACATTGTTATTATTAAATCTATTTATAAAATAGTATAAAATAATAGTTAAATTTAATAATTTATATTTAATTTGTAATAAAATTATTATTCTAACGTATTTTAAAAATATAAACTTTTAAACTTGTTGAAATTCAAAAATAAATATTATATACATTTTACGTTGTAAATTACCATTGATGAATAAAATAATGTATGTCTGAACACAGCGCGTTAAACTTAATGTTTGATAGAAATATTACTTCTCGGTGCAATAATTATACACTTGTATTTACACAAATAATTAAATGTTTTATTTATTTGTAAGATTATAAAGTGATTTAGATATGTATCGGCTATTATTAATAATTAATCATTTATTGATTAGTGTTATTTTAATAAATTAATAATTTAAACATTAGCATAATTTACTCATAAAATTAATATTGTGTTTTAGAAAATATTTGTAATAATCAATTAAATGAGACGATAGAAAACTTGTGAGCGTTATTTTAGTAATCAATTTGCTTATAAGACTCATTATGATCGGGCAGTTGTTTATAGAGTGTGGAGGGGAGGGGTGAGGGGGTGGTTATCAAAATTAATCAACACAACAATTAAATGTTAATACAATCGAGTTTCAAATATAATGATGGTGATCTGGTCGACGTGACAATGAATAAAATTGTTGTTAACGTATTGCACATATCGATCACCAAAACCTCTATAGTAGACAAAGCACTGCCACTCTCTGACCGGATATCTGGCCTTCATTTGGGTCACAATGTAATGAATTGTAGCGCTTATATTGTCATTACTGTCGATGGCCTCAAACACAATGTTCGTCACAAACGATACCATCGACTCATTCATAGCCGTATACTCTATGTCCAATTTGCGGGTAATTTTGTTGTGCTCGAGTCGGGCCTTGAAATTTGACCAATAAAACTGTTATAAAATATACATTAAAATTATATTGCATTAACTAATAATTATCTTGTAATTATTCGTTTATATTGTAAAAATTAATTATTTATTATAATATAATGTATATACTTAAATATTGCAAAATAATGTTTACTACTGTACCCGCATTGTATGAAATAAAGTAAACGTAACCGGGGTGAATTTCACTTTCACCAGAAAATTATTGTCAATCATTAAACATCCATTGTATTCGTCATAATCAACCAAACAGTGCCAACTACTGCCGTACTCGAGATCCATGTAATCGACCACATGTTTACACACATCGTATAGTGTGTTATGTTTTGTCAACATTTCCCGGAAAATCGACAGTGTTTTGTCGGTCATATCGGCGCTCAATTGGTTGTCCAACACCACCGGTGCCGACAGGTGTTGCCTACACTCGACCAGTATCTGATGTGCCAACAACTTTCCACTTGATAATACTGATTGATCAATATGACCGTCATTATTACCATGAGTTCTTTTCGATTCATTATTAATTGTTTTTAAAGCCTCGATCTCTGCGCGTAACGATTCAATACAGTCGCGCCCCGATGTGTGCACACAATGACATACTGAACATTGTACCGATTTATAGCGACAGTTGTCTGTGTGTTTTTTAAGGTCATTTTGTGTGACCACTTCAGGGCACCCGTTATCCCAATATTCGCACCGTTCGGTAATATTGTTAGTATCTTTGACCGACATTTAATACCTATCAATAAAATAGTATTAAAATTGTTATATATATTTTTAAAATTAATTAAAATATTTCATTTCTTACTAATAAAATGATTTAATTTGGGAGAGATTGATTTGAGGTAGAACTCTATCCCGTTAGTGCACTAATCATAACTAACTCACAAAGAGTTTATATTTAATAATTTATATTTTAGTTGTGCTCATCGATGACTTGAATGAATGTAAAACATAAAATACAAAAAATACACAATAAGTGTAAAACAATATTATAAATATCACTACTTTATTTAAAACCATGTACAATTTGTAATACAGTCAATGCTTACTATATTATGCATAGCTATTCACAATATCTCAATCTATAATTGAGTTTTGTTATTGTACAAAAGACAATGTTCATATTAGGCCCAGAGTGCACTCGGGAATTATTGTTATCAATCGAAAGTACACTCTGTAGGAAGTAGTGTGGTATATTTTATTTGGCCAGACGACTTCGGGTTTGGCCGTAGTG